AGTCTCATCATTTTATGAATCGCAGGAGCAAAGGTGAGGCATGCCGGCTTATCCTGTAAAGTATATTTTATAAAGTTGTTTTGTAGGCTTTCATGATTTCACTGGCGTTAATGGCAAAGTAGAGAGCTCGTGGGAGGTAGATCATAAGATGAAGACAAGACTCCTGCCAGCTGGTTCCAGTTTGGGTTATCTTGCTTAACCCAACTGTCTGTATAGAATTTGAAAGCTGGAGCAAAGGGAAAGTGACATTCTGTGTGAAGTAAAACTTCACACAACTAGTGATATTGTACTCCTAGCTTCTTTGATCATTAAGAATCATAAGAACTTTAGAAAGTGGAAATTTCGATCTTTGGTTTTGAACTGCAAAATATCTGGCGAGGCTTGTGAGACCATCTACGATTGCCTTGTGGCCTCTTGTACCAAGGAAACTTGCATTTTATACAAAAGAAACTTCCTTAAGTTCAATTGCAGGACCATTTTTGATGTACTGCCTCCCATCCAATTTCCTATCAGTCATGAGATTGCCTCCAATTCAATGGGTTTTAATTTTAGCTAGTTATCTTATTCATTTTCTTCTAAAATTCAGATATAAATGTCAGCCATTGGTAACTCCGTTATCACATCTGTAGTGCTATAAAATAATTCTTATCAGCTTTGTAAGACATGATGTACCTTTCACATCATGATGCTGGTTCTCCCTGATTAGCTCTATTTTCCATTTTCTCTGTTATTCTATCCCTGACAATGAATTTTGGTAATTTGTACACAACTGTGCCAAACTAATTTCAACAAAAGCCTTAATGTTTTTTTCTTTTTCAGAATACAATCTCTATCCTCACACCGAAAAGATAAGCGAGTGGTATCTAAGGAAGCGTAACTACACTCAATTTGATTTTTTTTGAGACCCATATGATCCTGACTATTGGTTATAATTTTCAAAGCCTCTGGTCTCAATATTGTAATCTCAAATACAGGACAGATTTCTCTCGGACTTTCAAGATTAGAAGAATATCTTCAGTTCTTTTCTATATTTTCTCTTCACTCAACTGAAAACAAGTGAATGTAATTCACATATTCAAAGAAAGAGGACAGAGTCATACCCAACAGCTACAGATGTGTTAGTCTGCCCTCAATATGTGTTAATCTGAAACCAGTTGTAAAATGGGAAGTTACCTGTATGAAAATACTATTAAGTACTCTAATACTCTAATAAAATGACAACCAATGCGACTTACAGATTTTTTTTGAGGATGTGACATCTGAGTGTGCAGCCATGTGATGTAGTCTACCTAGATTTCCAAAATGTCCCTGAGACGTACCATATGAGACTGTTTTAAATGTTGATGTCACTGGGAATCGATGGTTAGACATGGCTTCATTGTGGCTAAAGGGAAAGACGCAAAGGGTTAGTCAACAATAACTTGCATTTATAAAGCTCCTAGGATTAAGTTAACAAGTGTGCTGCAAGAAGCATCACTTTGCTATTCTTACCTTCTATCGTTCTTGGAATATCAACACAATCTCGACCCGAAACTTCAAATATACATGGTAACTTTCACAGTATTTCACCAATCATCTACTTCACTCTTAGGATCTCATTAATTTAATATCCTGTTTTATCTGAAGGGTTAGAGAGTTGAATCTAAACTATTGTCCTAAAATTCTACCATGGGATCTGAATTAGGTTTTGTAGACAGTTAATGTACTCACAAAGTAAGACTTTTTTGTGAACAGGATTTTCTGACCTGAAAGATGGCAATATTGCTAGCTTCAGGTCTGTAAATCCACCTGATTTGCTTTGGTTTCTTGCTGAGAACTGTGCTCCATCTCCATCCTAAATTTCTGCCTGAGGTTATTTGTTCACTTCAACCTTTGTCAGGAGGTTGTTGTTCCTTTTTATTCCTGAGTTGAAAAGATTTCTTTGTGTATTCATTGCGTTGATGCTTAAATGGGTTTAGTGCATTAAGCTGATCGACCTAAATGACTGAGGGGCTCATGCTATTTGTTTTATGTAGCCGAAGGCACTGTCTATATACACGAAGACTGATTCGATGAAAAGTTGAACACATTCTTCACTGTTGTGATCTTACAGATAGAACTCTGGCTGCAATTTAGAGGAACTTTTCTGCATTCACCAAGTATATTCTGTGACGTACTTGGAGACATAGGAACATCGGAATTAGGAGGAGTAGGCCATTTGGCCCCTCGAGGCTGCCCCACCATTCATTAACATCATGGCTGATCTTCTAACCTAACTCCATCTGCCCGCCTTATCCCCATATCCCTTAATCCCTCTATCCTTTAGAAACCTATCAATCTCAGTCTTGAATATGTTCAAGGACTGAGAGTCTACCGCCTTCTGGGGTAGAGAATTCCATAAATTTACTATCCTCCGAGTGAACACGTATTGAGAGACGTCTCAATGATGTGAGAGTTCAGAACTTGTAATGGCATAGTGTAAGCTGACACTCCAATGCAGTACTGGAGGTGGGTTGCATTGTCAGATGGGCAACATTGCAAGGATTATTATTACTACAATAGAATGCTTGTATATTGTATCATTTCTATTTCTTCACAGCTGTGCATTTTTTTTGTTTACAGGATGGAGAATGGTGACAGGAAGGAGATTGATTATTAGTTGATTGCTTCCAATGCAAACAACCACAGTTTGGTAAAGTGTAGAGAGAGCAAAGGAGCTTCTGAAGGAAGTTTAACTTCAATAATCAATAGCCACTTTTTCATTGGTGTTATAGGATCTAGATGTGATGTTGGATTAACTCCACATCTGAAGAACGGCGTCTTCAACTATGCAGCACCACCCCAGAATTGCACTAGAATGTCTGCTGCGAATATGAACTCATAAGTCCCGATGTGGGGCTTGAACACAATACCTCCTATCTCAGAGGTGAAAATGCCAACTGAGCCAAGCCACTTTTAAGAAGATTAAATAAGAAGGGCCCATGGGATTGATTTTCACCTTTATGTAATAATATTGTTTGTAAGAGTGGGTCTGAGTGAACTTTCAGTTCAATGTTTTACATTGAAGGTGTTGTGATGGAACTGTATCTTCATAATTTGTAGGAAAACTGGTCTGAGACAAATCTGATATTCTTTACCTTCAGTGTTTTATACTGGGGTTTTGTTCCTAGTATTTGAGTTGTATAAGGTGAACGGCTTCATAAAGGTGTCTCCATGTTGGCCTGGGATAGTGTGATCATTACAGCCAGGTGTCTTAGACCTTTTAGTGTGTGTATGGCATTTTCACCTCTGGCATAGAAGGTATTACTAATCCTTTCAAGTTGGACATTCTGAATGTCTAGATATTTCTAAGAGAAGATTTGTAAACTATTATACAACTCACCTAGTTTTTTCATAGTTACTTAATTTGGTTTCGGTAAATACATCTATTTGTGGGTCACCTGGTGTATGTCTATCATAAGTAATCATTACAATTTACCACAAAACTGAGTAATTTGATGGCCAGCCTTAAACCTTAATAAATTAAGCAATTTCTGGATCTGGGGAGGCTAACAGTCGCAGAAAGCTTTAAAGTATGTAGATAGGAAACTGGGGTGCCTTCAGTGGTGATCAGACTCATCACAGAAGGCTTCACTGGTTTATCTTTCCCTGTAGGTGGGATATCTTATTGACAGTCTTTGCAGGTTTATCCTGCAAATTAACCCCCGGACTGAGTGAGAATTTTTAAAACCAAGTTTTTCATAATCTGCATAAGCTTTTGCCACATTTGAGTTTAATTGGAACACATCTATTATTTTTTTTCCCAAACAGATTAATATTCATTCAGATCATTCCTTGTGCATTCAACTTTACTGCTACAAGTTCAAATTAAGTTTTGTTCCCCTTTAAGGGGGAATTGTATTTCTTCATTGGTTTCATTTTTTGACAGAAATGTTTCAGTGCCCAGCTTAATGGATGCTAATTCTTTGATATCTCTCTCTTCTCAGAACTATTGATCAGTAGTGAGAGAAAAGCTTTCCATAAATAATGAAGTAACAGAAGTGAGTGTTAATTTTAAAAACGTTCTGTTGCTCCTGCAACAAAGCCAACTTTATAGTTACAATTTTCCAAAGGGGAAATTGATCACATTTAAGTTATTTTGCTCCCCTTGACATTGAGCACACAATTGCTTACATTTTATGAAGTACAGCTGCAGTTTCTAACATTTGTGTGAATAGAGAACTAAATGGGAGATGTAGACATGGAGTTTTATTAGGCTTTTTTGAAAGGTTTATACAAACAGTTCATTAACAAGTGAGTACAAAGTTTACATTTTTACCTCCTGTTACAACAAAAATACCAATAAAAATTCAAACTTCTCTTTTTAAGAAGCAGATGGAAAGATGGCTATTGGGATATGTGGACAGTGTAAATTCAAACTTGTGAGAAGTTTATCAATCTGAAGTTTCTATTTTAATGCGATGCTTTAGCTATATAAGGCAAGTTTTGTAAAACGTAAATGTTGAGAAGAATGACCCAGCACATTGACTAATATTAAGGGGTGAACTATAAGTCTATAAGTAAAGGCTGTAAGAAAATCACAGGCTGTGATTTTGTTGCGGAAACCGCAATTTAACACGGACAGCAACCTTTTATAGTTGTCTCAACATTTAATGTCTACAATGAGTACACACTCCCATTGGAACCTCAACTCTCCTTTAAACCTCACATCTATAGCATGACCTGTTCTGCCTTCACCCATTGCAGCATCACCCGGCTCCACCACTGCCACTCACCTCATGCCAAGAACCCTCATTCAAGTATTCATCACATGCAGGCTGGATTATGCTAACTCCCTGCTTTTCGTTTTTCCCAACTCTTCCCTCCACAAACTGTAAAATATTCAGAACTCTGCAGCTGATGTCAAAGCACAAAGCTCTGCAAACTCATCAACCCCATCTTCCACTGGCTCCCTGTGCCCCCCCCCCGAGGATTGAGTTCAAAATCCTCATCCTCACCGTTAAAGCTTTGTTCCATCCTACCTCTGTGACTTGCAACCTCCATACTGACCTGTCCACTCCCTCCACTCAGCAGATTTTGGACAGCTCCACTTTATCCATCCGGGTGGGCATTTAGCCTCTCTGCCCCACCCGTTGTAACTCTATCCCACAGCTCCTTCGCTTGCCTTCTCCATTACCTTCTTCAAGGCCCGTCTGAAGACCTTCCTCTTCAACTGCGCTTTCACCCTCCTACAAGTCTCTCCTGGCCTCATCCCCACCTGCAGCTCGGGTACAAATCCTTGACTGTCCAGCGCCTTGGGACATCCTCTCGAAATGTAAGACGCTATACAAATTTAGTTTGGTGTTGGACCATCTGCTTGTCCATCAACCCGTCCCACGCTCTCATTGGACAATCATACATGGACTGGCATGGGACCTGGGCAGACTTGAGGAGCAGATCTGTCCTGATGACCATGTGAATGTCCAGGTAGGATGGTCCACTAAGAGCATGAGATGCACTGATGGACAGTTGGATGGTCCAATGGAAGCTACACTCGCTGTAGGTACTTGAACTGTGCACCAAAACCAAAACTTGAACAGGCAGACACACTGTGACTGTAACTTTTGGACAAAAAAATCACGATTTTCTTACAACCTTAACTATAAGGCATTAATGACATGTTGTTTGGTTTAAAACCCTATTCCCAGATGAGGATAAATTGTTCCAAGGTTCTGACCTGTCTGTAATTCGAAGCAAGTTCTAGAAATGTAATGTTAAACAGTCATTTAAATTCATCAGCTATATCTGATTAACAAAACCATTTTTGATTTAAACCCTGAAGTTAAAACATTGATTGGAACTGACTGTAAGTACAAATTATCTTTAAAAATTCTAACATACTAGTAATTGTCTTTGATGTTGAACTACAGCCCTGGAATCTAGTAATATCTTAGTCTGTGCATTAAGAGAGCAGCATTTAAGATGCTTTTAAGATTGCTTCCAGCACTTGTACTCTGTGTTCCTGTCAAACTTATTAATCTTTCTTCTTGGATGTATTGCCATTACTGGCTGTTATGTAGCCATTGTAATAACCATTCTTTATTTCCTTCACATCAGCATTGGTCTTGTTATCCTGCACCACTGTTTTTCTGTATGTCTGAGGACACAGTAAAAGAAAATTAAAAATAGATTCAGGAAATTTGTTTCTAGTATAAATCATCATGTGAGTGTTTCGACGGGTATGTGAATGATTTATAACAGCTCTCAGAAAGTGCAAATCATCCACCTAAGACCTTGATCAAGCAAATTTGCCACAATAAGCACAAGAACTGTTATTTGCCAAAAAAATATTTTCACCTAAAATAAAATGTATTTATTCATGCAAACCAGTTTCTTTTTTTATTGCCCTTGAACACATCACTAGTAAATGGTTGCTTAAAAAAAAAAGCCACATTTTTCTCTTACCTTCACATAAAAGTTTACAAACAAGATGACCAATGTAGCCATGTAGGATGACTGGAACATCAAGCAACCAATTGGAAATCCACATGGTTTTACTACTGCACTGACAGTGTGAGTAATTGTGAGTACAAATTGTACCTAAAAGAACAAATGAGATATCATTCAAACAAAGAAGGTGAACATAAAAATGCACACAAATTAAATTTAATAGTTTATAACTGTTTGCCAATTTAAACTTTTTTCAAAGTCTTAGTCTGATTTGCAAATGAAAATTTTCACAGTCTGGTTTGCAAATGAAAATCTGCAGACAAAACACAAGTGACAATTTTTAAAAACATCGGTGCAAACAGAATATACCACAAAAGGAATGAATTACCAGCTGTGCCTGAGTAAGGTATTTTTTCCACCAGAGGTAAGGTTGCATGGAGGGAATAGTTGACAGACCATAGTACGAGTACATCAATACATGAATAAAACTGTTCAAAGTAGGACCAAAAAAGCCTAGAAGAAAACAAATTCAAATGGAACGATGTTTCCCAATACACATTTTGCAAAACAGCATTGGGATCAATTTTGTTAAATGAGAGTACAATACTTTATTCAATATGATCAGAGGTCCACAGTAATGAGTCATGATTTCAAACTTTTCTTTCTTTCCTCCAGTCTCCCCCACCCCCAGCTCATCCAGCAGTGTGGAGAGCTTTGAGATATCCGTCTGATATAAAAGTCACTATATGAATAATAATGAGAGCCCTTGCCTGTATTAAGACTGGACCCAATGGGAATGTAGAACTAGTGCAGATAATGGATCATTCACCTTCAAATACATAGACACTATACATATCGTCGTGTAGTCTCATGAAGCGCTTTGGGACATAGACATGTAAAAAAAGTGCTATTATCAAATGTGAGTATTATTATGCAAAATAAAATTGACCACTACTAACCAAAAAATACTTTTTTAGGAATTATAGTGTGATTATACTGCCAGTTCTTCCTAATTTCTCTCTCTCACTGCTCTCTGACTTTCCCTTTCTATCTCTCTGATTCTATTTCTTGCTGATTCTCTGGCTTTCTTTCTCTCCCTGATTTTCTGACTTCTCATTTGCTATCTCTCTTTCCTCACTTCCTATTGCAAGCTGTGCACTGTATTTGCAAAAAAAGCTTGTTTAATAAACAAACTTGCGTAATGTTGCTGATTCACAGTCGTACTGTGAGTGTAAACCGTAGACATGAGAGCCTATGGAGCATGTACATAATTCTTTTATTGTAGCTCATATAAATAATCGCTGTGCAAATTGGGGGTGTTTAACATGTGTAATAATTAGTCCAGGATAACAGATGGCAATTCTGAGGTTTGGCTGTAATGCTTTGGAAACACCAGAGCTCTTGGATAATTTCTAAATGCTTTTCCAAACATATTCCTTGTGCATTCGTTATTAATCACTAGACTTAATTCACAATGTGCTATACAAATGTAAATTTGTATTATAATGTCCAGGGCCAGAGAAGATCATTACAATCCATCTGGCCAGGCCTGTTTTCAAAAAACCCATTTCCCCTAATCCCCTTCTCTATCAAAAATAAATCCATCTCCTCAAACCGGCAAGTCTAATACCTTTATACAATGGTGTACAATACAGCAATGGAACTTGCTTTGTCAGTTATAAAAACAGTGCAGACCATAAATGATCTTGACATCCCTTTAGGCACCCATCTACACTGTCACTCAGTCAGTACCTAGGACTGGGGGAGAACACTGCTTGTCCTTCGACTGACCAGTGAATTTTCAGACCTTCTTCTACTATCCTCTGGGAATTAAGTCTATTGATAAATAACCAATGCACAAGAAATAGATTTGGAAAAGCATTCAGAAATGTTAGAGAAAAAAAGCATACTTTTTCACTTAGAAATGTCATATTTTCTCAGCTGTCAACGGAAGGGATAAGGGTTCTGACATAACCCAGCTAAATCCATGCATCCTAAGAACTACTGAAATTGACTTACTTTGACCACAGGGTATCCAGTTAAGAACACACCACCAGATGTTGAACATTGTTGCATGGTGATATACATGAAGGAATGTAATTTGACTGTTCTTTTTTCGTAAGACAAAAAATATGGTGTCCATAAATTCAACAGCTTTAGAAAAGTAGTACCACCACAGCACCTTAGCCACCTGCAAGATAAAAAATGAATGTACTTAGGAAAACCAAAATATACAGAGCAATAAATAGTACTGTAGTAAAAAGTTAAATTTGATTGAGGTTTGCGAATGCTAGAATTACTCCAATGGTCTTGCTGGTTTAACTGTAACAATAGCCACTAACCAGCCAAATGAACCCTCAATGTAGTCACAGTTGAATTGATGGATTGCTCGCTTCAATTGCACCCATAAATCCCAAGAGTATATTTCACTCTTTGTGGTCTTTGTGCAATCCAAACCCGTGAAAGTCTTTGCTGGCAAGAGCTGCCGATACCGCGATAGACGTTTAACTTACTCCCACGAAGATCAGTCATTTATTACCAATCCAGATTAACTATCTACTTCTATCCATGATTTTTCTTCGAAAATTCTAATTCTTTTAACAGTGAGTATTGTGTTAAGGCACCTGGTTGCAAGGGTTGCCTTAGCTCAACAATGCAAATCACCTGAAGAACGTACAAGCATTAATATATACGGTCTGACCCTATATGTTTGGAGTTGTGAAAGCCAACATGAAACTCAAGCTGCGATATCGCCTGAGTCAATGACATTTCTTACATATACAAATGCCTTGCTTCCATTAGGTAAATATCACAGTAACATTGCATTATTATGCCATTGGAACTTTTGGAAGTCTTGGCCTCAGAGTAATACCTATGCAAATAACAAACGGAAAACCAAAAGGTTCATAAAAGCATGCATTATTACCACTTGTGAATTGTATTACTTTATCGTCTCACCCTGATGTCGACTTCACCTGCACTGTGGAGGTTTTGACACTGCAGGTAGTAGGCCCCTTCCCAAGATGACAGAATCAGCTGAAAAAATACAAAAGTGTGGCTGGTCAGTCTTTAAGAACCATAGAAATTCACCACATGGAGGAAGGCGATTCAGCCCTTGTACGTGTGCCAGCTCCTTTAAGAGCAATCCTTTCCATCCCATATTTTTGATGCATTCAGTTTCATGATACATGGTAAAGCTTTTACTTAAAACTAGTAGTAATCCGTTGAGAAGCAAAAGCAAACATGATTATTATGTAATATGTCTAATCAAAACTGCAAAGGATCATGCCCAAAACATAATGACATATTTTTCCTTTTCAGATGCTGATTGATCTGCTCTCCATTTCTAGTAGTATCAATTTTTACTTAAGATTTTTTAAGTCGCTTTTGTAAAATCAAAACATTTGCCTAATTTTCAATGACCCAATGGAAGAGCTGGGGATTTTTCCTCTAAACGTGCATGTGGCTGTAATAGAAGTATAACCCCAAGAATCTGACTACATGTTTACTGGATTGGGTCAAGTGTTTATTCCTTCATTTTCTGTCAGAACCCCCTCTTTGCGCAGCCACTTCCCCTATTTACCACAAATCACCTCAGTGCTTGGTCCGGAACTTCACAAATGGGCTTAATGAAACCTTTCTGCTGCATTCTGAGGAGCTCAGAACCATGAAGGAGAACTCTTTGTACACGTCCCAACCTCTTTTACACCACAAACTTAACCTTGACATTTGGGACTGTCACTGAAAAGAGATGAGAATGACCAAAGTACCCTTGCCCTCTTATCAGTCCCGAAGGATTGGGTCCAAGCAAAATATGGTGTCCGCCATAACAGCCAGATATTGATATTGCCCACGGGGATATTAGGGATCTGTTAATGCATTTAAAATTATATTTTACAGATTCTAACACAAAGTCAGAAGCAACAATATAAAACTTTGAAACATCATTTGAATATTTACACCCAGATGTGTGGTAGTTATTGGAATGTGCCACAATAATGCTCACATTAGGAGCTCCACATGGTACTAACTATACTGCAGTAGGCTGCTTGTACACTAGGGGGACCTTATGAGTCATTTTCCAATGAAAGTTTCGCGAATGCGATTGTGCACTGCTCTTGGGAGAAAAAGCTTGGTGGCTCAGAGGAAGTGATTATGTATTTGGCATTCTTTGTGGTACTTAATTCACCTCTGGGATAAGTGTGATGGAAAGCACACAGACTAGTTGGAAGACTTATTAGCTTAGAGAGGTAGATGGCTGAAAAATGGCAGTGGGTCTGGATTCCGCTCCCCACCAGCACAGAAATCACAGTAATAATTGGATTATTCAGTGTAATTCGGCAGATGAGACATTATTGATAAAGGTTCCCCTGGTTTTCCACATTGAGGACAACTACTGGATGCCAAAAGGTGACACTTCAACCTCTGTGGACTAAAAGTGGAAAGATATTGTCTAAGTGGACAGATAATGGAATTTGTTTATAAAGGGAACACTAAGAAATAGGACTAACCTGAATGTTTGTTCTCCTGTGTAATTGCAGAGAGTGTTGTGGTGATGGCATCCAAAGCATCTGCGTGCTGCTTATATGCCAGCACTCCCAAGGCAATAGGAACTGCATTCTACACAGAGGATCCATGTCTGATTGCCTGACTGCTCCCGTATCTCCACATGGGAGATGATGCTTGCAGTTTATCTAAGGTTGTCACTGCCCATCTGTCTCTCACCCCAGTATTCAACCTGCTCATTTGCTTTGTCAGCTAAAAGCAGAATATTTCTTATTGGTAATTGTCTGCCATTCAAAATATAGGAAAAGGGAAAAACATACTAAAATGAGCAAACAACAGTTTGTATTCTCCTTTAACAATCGTAACCAGAAGATGGTTGTATTTTTCATGGTGACTACTCTTTGCAGCTTTCAAAATATTTGTCAGACTCAACAACAACTTGCATTTATTTAGCGTCCCTCACACAGGGTAGCATCCCAGAGACTCAAAGAGGGCTCAGCCCGTATACAGAAGTTGGACAGTTGTACGAAACAGGAAATTGAACTTTTTATCTTCTTAGGGATAAAATGTGATTTTCCTTTCACTTTTGTTTCTGAAAGAATTGGGGAATTCTTTGACTGGGGCATGTTTTGCTGGGAAATAATTGAGCAAATTCCTCTGGTGCTGATGAAATGGCACAGGATTAATTAACCTTGTAGTGGAGCATCTCTCACTAGGGTATCACTAACAAGTTGCTCAGGCAACTGCAAGACTCTCACTCTAGGTGCTTTTTTGACAAACTCCACCAACCGGAGAGAAACCATTGATGTTTAATTGCCTCCCTATGGGAGGTAATATTGCAATTGTGGACTTCAGTGGCAATAGGCAGAGAATTCATGTACCAACTATCAATTTTCATATTGCAACATAATTTCTATAGGACTGGAAAGACCATCAGAGATCCTCTCGCCAGCATCTTTAGCATCTTAAATAATTAAATAAAATCTTGCCTCCATCTTGGAGTGTCAGTTTGGATGAGTGGTGGCACTCTCGCCCCTAAATCAGAGGTTGTGGGTTCAAATCCCACATCGGGACTTGAACTCCCATGATCTAAGCCGGGGGGCGTGGGCTCTAACCGGTCGATCACCTCTAGGTGGCACTGTCGAGCATGATCAAATAGGCAAGAGGAAGGAGCGATAGAACTGCTTAAATATTTAGTCCAATTGAAAATGAAGCCAGATGTACAAAGTATTTGATGTATCTGTTAATACAATTATAAACTTTTTTGTTCAAACTGCGGTAAATATCACTGCTTGTTGTTGTTATTCAGCATGTGCGAGACACCACCTAGCGACGATTGACTGATTGGAGACCCCTGGTCTAAGTTGATACTCCAATGCAATACTAGGTGTGTTGCATTGTTGAGGTGCCGTCCTTCAGATGAGACGTTAAACTGAGGTCCCATCTGCCTGTTCAGATGGACGTTAAAAGATCCCATGGCACTATTCAAAAGAGAATAGGAGTTTCTCCCGGTCTCCTGGACAACAATCACCCATATAAAAAATTGGTCACTCACTCCATGACTGTTTGTGGGACACAGCTGTGCCAATCGTGCAAGCCAAATCTTAATTTACAGACATATTAGAATTTTAAGAAGAAGTAACCAACCTTGTGGATAAGGGCTTCCCAGTTGTGGCTAGTTTACTTGAAGTTTGGAAAAGTTCCTTGTGTGTGGACTTGAAAAGGTTAATAGATGATTAAAAATGGGCTACACAAAGATAGGCACAGGTTATCAATGGAAAGTGCTCTGTTTGGGATGTGGGATCCCAAACAGAGATGTGTTCCATGCCCCCTGCTGGTTTCACTATTTGTTAATATGGAGCAGGCTAATTATAGTTTTATCATAAAACTTACCTATTACGCAAAGCTACATGGTCAAATGAGGAGTAGAAAGGTCAACAGTATTCAAAAGGTTTTGGATTAATAAGGCAAATAGGCTAATTTATGTCAGATAGATTTCAAAATAGGTAAATATAGTGCAACAGAAACAAGAAATGGTAACCATGTTACAATGGGGGAAACCCAATTAGAGCTTGACACTGGACATTGAATACCTTTCAACTTTTGCCCTTAGTCTTCTGACGCTGAACTTCATTAGTCAGATGAAGTTGTTCCAAGGGTATTCTATTAATGCTGGGCCAATGCACCAGAGCAAAATGCAAATATGCAGTATAGTTTACATTTAACTATTGCTTTTCACCTCAAGAGGACATCTCAAAATGCTTTACACAGCTGGTTGGGCACCTGAGCCAGGTGGCAGCTGAAGAAATGGGAGAGGGAATAGAGGACAACTAAAAATATTTCAAGTGTGTTTCCTCCTGCTAAGGAAGCACAAATTGGAACACTGACATTGGACAACAGTGTAGCACACAGTTGGGATAAGGAAATAAATAGTATATTGTAGATAATAAAGTCCATTTTATTGCACAATGAATATTGTTGCCCAATTGACTTGTTTGACATGGAATCAAATAATGTTTTCATTTCTGCTTTACCAACAAAATAATAAATACCTTGCTAAATAAGATTTCAGGTTGGGGACATCATCGAACAATCATAGAGAGAGGGTTCAAGACTAATCTGGAAGAGATTGGTGAATGAGATCCAATCATATTTGCCTTGCAGTTTGCTGCTGTTCATCTGGTGATGGTTGCCCACTTCATTCTCTTTAACTATAGCTACTGTTGCTACTCATCAATAGATCTATATTATCTCTATTTTAGGTAATGTTGTTTAACTCATATAGTCTAAACTGACACTCAAATGAGGTGCTAGGAGTTTATTGCATTTTGGAGGTGCCATCCTTCGAATGAGACATTAAACCAAGGTCCCAGTTTAAGTGGATATTCAAGATCCATTGGCACTATTTGAAAAGAGACGAGAGTTTCTCCCAGTGTTGTGGCCAACAGTCCTCCAAATAAAATTGGTCACTCACTCTGTGGTTGTTTGTGGGACATTGCTATACACAAATTGGCTGCAGCATTCACCCACAAAATACAGTTACACCGCTTTACAGTATATCCTTTGAAGCACTTTGAGGCGTCCTCCCAACTTGAAAGCTGCTATATCAAATATAAGGATTATTCTTGTATAATGGCTAATTTACTGTCTTTAATGGATTCATATTCCCCACATAAAACAGTCCCCCAAGGATCCTAGCAAAGGAATTTTTGTCTCACTACTCCAAGGATGTCCTCGATGATATCTCTGTTGTGCATACGTAATCTAATGTGTGACAATCTGGGAAATACACAATGGCATTGTTAACCATGGCATTAAAGCACACCCCATGTGACTACTGATCCACCGTTGAAGTCATCCTTAAACTACACAAAACATCTGCAACACATTAATCTGGCAAAAGGAACCATCATGCATGGAACCAGGACAGCGATAATTGAAGTGTAAAATAGTGCAATCTCCACCACATATAATTTGGAAATTCCTAGAGTGAAAGACTTGTCTGTCCAACTACACCTACACACCACATTGAACCTCACCTCAACAAGCAAAGCTGTACTTACAATATATATATATATATATATTTCATGTTCATGACATTTTGCACAAAAATATACAGTGAATTCAATGAACAGTGCTTTGAGACATCTCAATGATGTGATAAGATGCTATATCAAATGCAAGGATTATTATTATTATAATGTTCTATAATGGCTTCCATTCTTAGCCTCAAATGTCTTCAACATTGATTGTGCGTTTTCTAAATAACTTGACCTCTTCCGGTAACTCCCATCTCCTTCAGTTCTCCTTCAGTTCTCCTTCCTTGCAGGTACCTCCCTGTCTACCTAGAATTCTGGTTATGAGTTCTCCTCCAACACCAAGTCACGCACTATAGCTGCAGCACCCATGTACATTTCTTACTGTCCACCTCACACAGAGATATTGGAGGAACAAGCTAAATCGTAGCAAAGAGAAACCATAGAACATTAGTCTTAAAATTGATGTGCAAGGCATCCGTACGGCAACAAAAATCCTGAAACATACCATTAGTGTTCCTCTAGGAACAGAACATTGATCTTCGTGCTTCTGGCTCCTCATTCTGCTTTTAACATCTGCTCAAGTTGGGTGTGAAATTAACCACCTGTACTTAATACCTAAGGAATTTTACCCACAAATACAATCAATTAATTTTTCAGACAGAGAACCAGTTTGTGAAATGAATCGGTTTCACTACCGTTAAATTTAATGGATGTTTGAAATAATGGAGCAAAATACCTTAAGTAAAAATTAAGGCCCAAATCAAAAAATTCTTATGTGTCTCAATGATTTAAAACTATGTTACAATAGGTAGACATAGACGATCAACAAGCAGGGACAGAGCATGTTGAACAGGAAATAAATCCAAACTGGGTCTCCGGTCAGTCTGATCAGTGATAACTTCTTGCTATAAATATTGTTTTCTGCCTGGAAGTTCCCCTTAAACATTTCCTAATTTGATTGTCTCTCGATTGCTTTGCTAACATCAAAATGAAACACAAAACTATTATTCATGTTATTTTGTCCCAGTTATAAGTCACACACTGCACAAAAAGTTCAATTGTTTTAAACAGAACAAGTTTCCAAAACACAAAAAAAACACAAAATACTGCAGATGCTGGAGATCTGAAAACAAAAACAGAAGTCCCTGGGAAAACAGTGACTTCTGTTTTTGTTTTCAGAACAAGTTTCCATGTTGTTTTTGGCAGCAGACTCCATATCACAATACAGACCTGGCATTTGAGAAAGGGAGCTGAGTTTGAAATCTTGGAATATAAAGAATTTGTACATCCAGGTGTAAACATTGCAGAATTGACTGTAAAAGCTCTTGGATCTGGATTAGTATTCTTATTTTGTATAGTGCAAACATCCATTGAATGCCAGTGTCTGAAAGCCACAATGCTTATTGATAAAAATGCATTGATTAAAGAAGGAGGAATACTTATGAAGTTTAAAGGCATAATCATATGCAAGTACTGGACATGCAGCTAAAGGAGAATGCAAGTGTAGATGGGATACTTTCAGTAGGAACTGCAATCACAGCATAAAAAGCAGGGACAATCTGTAAATTGCTGTAACGTATTTAGTTTAATTTAATTTAATTCGAAAATGCAGGAACACAGGGCACTGTGGCTGTATCCTTTACTGTGGTTATGCACTTGTACTCTCTTATTCATTTCACATATCAACTTCTTTTGTGTTGATTGTTAAATATCAGCATCACTTTGGAGTAATTTTAACATATTTACATTTGCTTGCCTAGATTTTAAGCCCCACCAAATTCAAATAGGAAACATAACTATTTGTAGTTTGCTCAAAGGTGTCACCAGCTCATCCTTTTGGATGTTTCAGTCAGTAAAGACATTGCCTAGAGGATCTGCAAGATAACAGATATGATCTCTGCAGAGTTATTTTTAACGGTGAGCGAGGTTGCCCCCTCTCACCCCATATTCCAAATTAGCTGAATTTCTGATTCAAAAAGTGTGAATGCCTTGACTGCCACCCAGTGTAAGACCCCCTCACACAACCACATTTCTGAATCTAGGCCTCAAGCTGCCAAAAGGCAATGTTTCCCTTATGGCTTCATGATTTCTTGGGATGTCCTCCTGACTTGAAAGGCGCTATACAAATGTGATTTTTGTTTGTTGTTATTGATCAATCCATTGGATTAACTCATCAGATCAAAGACACTGAAATACTTGATCTTAGCCAAAAGTCTGAGAAGGTCTGTGCAGAGTTAACTCATCTCAACTGGGTGGTAACTTTACTGTTACAAATAGCCTCAGTGCATCTGGACTTCAGTTTGGAAAAAACGCTTCCTCTCCTGATCATTTGTCCTCATGAACCCTTCCAACATATAAACAGGAGGATTGTCATCAAACAATTCAAAATCAATAAAGAGTACTTGATCTTATCTTAAATAGTTGTAATACATTACTATTTTGCTGTGCTTTTGATTTCCTAACCAAGCACATATAGACCAAAAAGGTCCATCACAAACAAATCCATTTCCCACCTTTTAACCTCCCACGGTTCCTGCTTTCTGCATGAGCCCAATGCCCTATGCTGAACATCGGAGGATTAAATGAGTAAATAATGGAATTAAAAATTATTTGCTGAAATAAATCAGAAAAATGCAACAGAAATGAGGACATTCTTACCTCAATAAACATGTAGAGTGAGAGAAGCATTACTCCAAGGTTATATATGATTAAATGAGTCCTGAGGAAGAATGCAGGTCTGTCCTTCATAAACTTTGTTCCCAGCCATATAGCCAGTAGGTACAATAGCGTAAGGAAGAATGTGGGTAAATAGGAATCCAACATAAGCCATCCTCTAACCCTGGGATCTAAAAGTGAAAAAATGCACGCGTCATTTCAGATCCGGTTCTTTGGTTCAACAGTTTTGCTTGGCTTGGGCAAGAAATATACGGCACAATGCAGACCCACATCAGATACTACTGCAGATGGCAATGGAATCTTATCTAAGAGCTGAATAGCTCTGTTAGCCTGGCTTTCCACTGAATCTCTTTACAGCTGTTTGCACTAAACTTAGTATTTTTAGGAATAACCTGAAGATAATCAAGAATTTCATAGCAATTCTATCAGAATCCGATGAGTATATTTTCACTGCAAATAGAAATGAAAGAGGCATTGTTATCAGGAATTACTCTCCAGAATATTGGTGACTTCAAGAAGTATCAAATATAGTGATAAATTAGATGAGTCATTAAACTGAGGTCCTGTCTGCCTGTTCAATGGACAGTAAGATCCCACAACACTTTTCGAAAAGTGAAGGGAGGATCTCCAAATGTCTTGGCTAACAATCCTCCAGATTAATTGGTGCTTAACTTCTTGTTTTTTGTGGAAAATTACTGTATACAAATTGGCTGCACTGTCTGCCTACAAATACAGTCACCACACAATTACCTGTGAAATGATTTGACATCATTGACATTATCAAATGCAAGGATTATTATTGTGGTAGTTTTTGAACTTTGGGAGTGACCAAATGGGCTAGATTGTATTTTGTCCTCTTCTGAAGTCACTGACTTACAATGACTAGAAATATGCAGCATCTTTTCTATGACTGTGTACTTGCACTGTGTTCACCATCAGCCAAATTTGTGTTCTGAAGCATGATACCTGGGGCTGCAATGTTGTTATGGCAAATTGTAGAAAATATCATGGACAATAAAAAGGTGCTGAAAATCATGGTTACATTGATAAAAAGTCACAGATAGGGACAGCTTTCTATCAATTTGACAGCAGTGTGTCAGCCTGGCGCAGTGGTAGCACTCTTGCCTCTGAGTCAGAAAGTTATGGGTTCAACCCCGTGTCGGGACTTAGAATCACATACTCTAAGATGACAATTTAATGCAGGGAGGGTTGTGGGGGAGAGCAATTGTTGGGGGTGCCGTACTTCGGATGAGATGCTAAACCTGTTCAGGTGGATGTTAAATGCTTGTTCAGATGGACGTTAAAGATCCTGTGGCACTATTCAAAAAGAGAAAAGAGTTCAAGTGTCCCCACCTGCAAATGCCTAAATAAAATTGGTCATTCACTCTGACTGTTTGTGATACACTGCTGCAACCAAAACTGGCTGCTACATTTTGCCAACACAAAATACACAGTAAATCCACTTTACAGCATATCCACTTTAAAGCATACTTCAAAGCGTTTTGAGATCGCGCGAAGATGTGATAAGGAGCTAATCAAATGCAAGGATTATTATTATATTTTATTATATAATTTAGCACTATGTTGTAAGAGCCATCAAGTCTCCAGAAAAGCCATAATAAAGATTTCTAGCATTTAACAGGTTTCTGTTGTAATCTTTTCATCAATGTCTATAAGCAATTTTGGTTATCTCAAAGATCTTATTTTATGCTGTTTATTCAATACTGTAAAGTGAATTGACTATATAGTTTGTGAGCGAGACCCGGCAGCCAATTGCGCACAGCAATGTCCCACAAACTTTGTTGACTGAATGATCAAATTATTATCTTTTTGAAGGGATTATTAACCCAATTGACTAACAACTGGCTACTTACTGTTTGGTAAACAGAGGTGTGTGGAGTAAGGAAACTTGCCCAATATTTCGCCCTGAATCGAACCCAGGACCTCTTGTTTGCAAGGCGAGAGTTCTAACCACTAAGTTACAGGACTTCACCCAGGATGCCACTACACTTTTTATTGAGTCAGTCTTGTAAGAAGGGAGGAGCAGAACAACCTACTGCTCTTGACACAGATTGATGCATCAAATGTAACCCAAATGGGTGCGTTAATTCTTAAGTGTAGATCATTTCCATAAATGTGATAACCCAGCAATTCATCTCTTTGTTAACAATGATTGGTTTCCATTTACACATTACAAACCTCAGAAGTGGAATGGTTGTCTGTATTGCCTGTTGAATCACTGTTACAGGGCCTTTAAAAATTGCAGGAGCTTCTCAGATGTCAAAGACGACACATATATTTCACAAACCCTGGCAACACCCACTGATAATGGCCTTTTTGGTTACACAGAGACTGATTTCTTGTTTGCTGTTTTATTTCCAAAAGCACAAGGAACAATTATAACTGAAAATAACAGGTAACAGAAAGAACAACATTAGGATCCATCATACCCCTATCTCTAGATTTAGTAATTAATTTTCATTCAATTCTTATGGTGGGATTTTAGCCATTAGTGTATGGTAGAAATGAAAATTGTCTGTGTGCAAGGATTTCTGATGATTAAAATGGACTTTGCGAGTACTGGGGGATTTTCATGGAACTAACAATGTATATTTTTAAAAAATCAATGTTACTGTAGCAAGAGAATGGTAATATAAAGAAAGATTTTTTTTACTGAATGATTGTTAGAAGAAATGCATATTTGTATTTAATGGCATTGAGTCGTGAGCCAGTGAGAAATACAGCCAAAATAAGGTCTTGGGACTGTCCAGTGCTTTGGAACATCCTCCAGATGTGAAAGGAACTACACAAATGTAATTTGATGTTGTTGGTTTGCTTTACATTAGCCAGACCAAGTCAGGCCAACAATAGGGCCATTGCAACTAGCCTAAGGCTCTCTGGAATGAGGTAATAGGGCACATTCTCCCTCCTGATTGATATTCAGTGACACTTGCTGGGAAGTTAGTTTGTGGACGATGGGTGAGGACAGGATGTCTCTACATGATTGAAGAGCCTGTCGATACTCACTGTCCCAAGCTCATACCTGAAAAATAGTCACATTGGCAGGGACTGTGATAGAAGTCAATATGAGTTTCTGTATTCAAGAGAAGGTAAGGGGTTGGGCATAATGATTTCTTTCTACTCAAAGTCTGATGTATTTATCATTGTAAATTACGGACATGGATTCTGGAGTAGTTAGTCCTTACTGACCACACATAAGCTGACATAAGGAAAGTTGGCCACCACTACCCCTTTCATTTAGATGAAACCTGACTAGAAATCTCTCCCACTCACAAGTTCCAACTTCTTTTTGCACAAATGTCCTTTGTTGACTGACAAACACTTTGGAACGCTTCCAGAACAAACGTCCTGTGCAATGGAGGAGACAGATTTGGTTTGTGCCCTGCAGTTGCTCGCATGGTGACGTTTTTAATTTCAGCTGTGCAATGCAGGAGAAACACCATGCAACCAACAAAGCTATTCTCAGGGGAGGCGGTGATGATTATGTGGGGGGCTGTTGTCTCAAGAGTGACTTAAGTGATTTAAATAATGACCTATAACTAAGCTTCCTTCCTGCCTTCTCTGGAAGTGTCACACAGTATGTTAATTAAAAAATAAATTCCCTAAATTTGCCAAGTATCAGGTTGCTGCCTTCTGGAACAAAACAAAAGTCTTAAAGTGGGTAGGAAAGTGAAGCAGAGCCAGCCATGCTTACTAATTGACTTTTCTTTTGCTCACTTGGCCATTACCAACTTTGCAATGAAGTGAAATGTATTGTTTCCAAAATAACATTTAAAGCTAATTTTCAAATTCAGATTCACTCTTTCCAATGTACGAATGTCGTGTCATATTGATCATTTTACTGGGCTCAAGTTCAATTTGCTGCTTTCTTCGCAATTCTTTTGAGCTGCTGGTCAGTAATGCAGAAGTTGCTGGCTTCTGTCATGAGATTTGGGGATAGGAAGGAGTCTCACCAATGCATTGTCATTCATATTCCCTGCAGTTAGATATGTGTTGACACGGGGAATTATCCTAGGGCAGAAACAAAGGCTGTGCGTGATTTTCCATGATTTAGATGTAATGCATTGACTGAAATAGAAATATAGAATTTTCTGTAAAGAAATGGGGGAGGGGCATTCAGCTTATTGTGCATCTGCTACCTGTTTTTTGTCAATTAATACCATTTCCCAATTTGCTCTTCATATCTACTGATGTCTTTACTGCTCGGGTGCTTATCCAGGTGAATAATTTCTGAATGATTCTATTGATCCAGCCTGAATCGCCTCTTGCTCGGATTGCAAACCCTGACAACCCTTTGAGCGAAGAAATTCTTCCTAACTTCTCCTCCTAAATGTTCTGCTAACAATTCAGTAGCAGTGCCATTGGAGCAAAATAACACATTCTTCTCTCATATGCTTGGAAAATGTTTAATTTTCAAGCACCTTGTGAGTTAGACACTACACGCAACAATGTCCACTTTCTTAACAGACGTAAGGAGGTTCCTGCCGTGGCCTCTCATGCGGCAGATGGAAAGCAATTGTGAAATAATGCATTTTAATTAGAAAAAAAACCTAAACTGTGACTCCACATATGGTCGGCAGTTTGACCCATTGAGAACTGAGCTCTAGGCTATGATTACAGTAAATTATGTTCATGCTAAGGAGTTAATGAGGTTTTGGAATTTAGGATTAAACCTAAAGCTGTAGAGGTTGTTCCATCAGTTTTAGATCACTGTCAATTTTTCAATCTCATTTGCAGTATTTTCTCTATATCCCTTTACACTTGCTTCCCAAATAGAGTCCCGGTATAATTTCCCAACTGTTACAACAATTGCAATTGCAAGCTGCAGGTGGTGGTCTTCCCCTACCCTGCCTCTGCAACCTCCTCCAACTCAACCAACCCAGCCACTCCCTTCGCTCAGTAGGCACCAGCCTGCTTCGCGTCCCCTGTCCTACCTGCCCCACCATTGGCGGTCAACTTTCAGACTATATGCCCCCAATCTCTGGAACTCCAAATCGCTTTTTGCCTCACCTCTTTCAAGGTCAGTCTCATATCTACCTCTTTGATTGTGCTTCTGATCATCTTTCCCCTCCCTGCCCCCTCAGCTCCTATCCCCAGCTCTGGTGTCCAGCCAGGACAGTTAAGTGTCTTGGGATATCCAGCTGACATGAAAGACACTATATAAATGTACATTGTATTGTTTTACTGCACAAATGCACAGCATCCAACTCGCTTCCTACGCGCTGGCCAGTTCCCACACCAAGAGGATAATGACTGAGGGTCATCGATTCATTAATTCCTCTTCCATGGCTTTCTGGGGCCAGTGTATCAATATCTCACAACAGCTGTGTGAAGAAATGTTGGGGTGGATAAGGTGACAATTGCCTACCATTCACTGACTGATCTGGCTTCAACATTTAATCAGCAAGAAATGTGTTTGCTATCTCTTAACCAGGACAAAGGGAAGGAATATTATACTGCTTTAATATTACAGCTTCTGTGGGACAGATGACAATGATCCCTAAAATAAACTTTAAACATATATTATGCTTGGGTGACGACATTGTACGCTTCCGTGTATTTGCAAACATGTCCTCATGTTCTCGCGTTGTTTATGCTGGGGACTGATCTGAGTCTGAGAGGAGTTCAGCTAAGTTCAATGCCAGGAAATTTGGTTGCTTTGCATTACAGGTTGCTTTCAGAGGTCTCATAATACAAAATCGGTAGAAGCATTATTAAATGGTATTAGTTGGCAGCGATTGAAAAGAAGATTTAACACATTTCTATTACAAATCCTTTGAAGAGTTGATAAGATTCAGTGACTGGGATCCAAGAAGAATGCCAACAATTGCAAATAAATATCCACCTCTGACAATGATAGTAATCCTAGTTACAATTATAGAAAAACTTACCTCTATCACCAAACATGTAGTCCACAAAGGAATTCACACGTTTGTCTAAGGTCTCAATTTGGTTCTGCAAAATATAATATTTAAAACACCATTTTAGTTTCACAAAGTGATTTTAGTCAAGACAAATTAGCATTGTAATGCTTCCCTCATCTTACACTAGGTTTTTAATGTTAACAGTAAAGTTTACTTGCTGCAATTAAAAAGTGTACCCAGCAATAGTCCAGAGCTAGGATAACGAAGTTTAATTAAAACAAATTGTCACTCTCTGGTTAACAGACTAAAGGTGCATAATTTGGAAAACAAGGAGGCACAAACTCCTTTAATGGGAATATTGGCAACACAGGCATCCTATCATGGGAAAGGCCACAAAACATGGATATTCTGCTAATAGACACCACATAATGGAATACAGGCTAATAGGTAAATCAACAATATCCATTTGCATTTATAACAACAACAAATTACATTTGAGTAAAGTATAAGAGGCTCTTTAAAGGGGCAGTATTGTTTTAATTAAACTTAGTTATCCTAGTTCTGGACTATTGCTGGGTACACTTTTGCAGCCACCACAATTAATGTTGGCATCAAAATGAAGACAGAGTTATATTCACTGCCCTACATTTGACAACCTTGCTGGAAGGTCTTATGACATAAAATCACTTACTGGAAGGAGTTGGACTGTAGCTTAATTCAGCTTCTGTTTGTCACTATAATTGGGAAATCCAACAAACATAGTTCTCATCTATTTAAACAGTGGAGCAAATAGGATGGTTTAAAATGGGTTTCCCTCATACTTACCCTCTAATATATTTTCATATCTTAGGCTGTAATTTCCACTGACAGAGATAGGTGCACGTTTAAAATGCATTGAGGCAGAAATTATTTGATTTGATTTTAACTTAAAGAGACAGAACTCTGCGAAACAGAAAACAAGCTATTCGTCAAAATTGAAGCATTTAGAGGTTAAAGAGTCAGGATAGAAAGATTATTCACCCAGTAGTGCCTTAAAGTTTTTTTTAGAATAGATTCAGGGCAAGTGGCATTGGAACACATGGTATAATCACTGTATTGTCCTGAGCAGATGAGTATTTAGTGCGCAAGTAATAATAATACTTTCAAATTCTGCGCTTTACAAATAAAGCAAGTATTGATAGGTCAATCTGCCCAAATATTCAAAGCAGCTTATTGGACACTAAAACTAATTTAGTAACCACTGGAGATTATAAACAAATCCAATATATATGGTACTTAAATGTTCTTTGCAGTCATTTCTGAAACTAAATCTGAGTGTGGAGAGTTAAAAGGCCTGTGTACTCCTTGTTTGTTTTTGCACTTGTAAAGCCCAAATGGCAGATCGGATATGTTCCTTTAATTTAAACATTCTTTTCAGTTATCTATGCTTTAAGCCATAGATGTATTTGCCTTAGTTAAAAGTTAGTTCTGTGCAGATGTTCACTTCTTATCAGATCTTCCTCTGCACAGAAAGCATTGTACTCAGTCATATCCCCAGTTTGCACTGGTGTACCCTCGAGAGGGTGTGCAATGAAGAAGTAGACATGAGCAAGGGTTAGGAAACAGGTACTTCTCGGAGTAGTAAGAACATTTATTATTATTATTGCTATTATTTGTGGACTAGAGAAAACATATTATTGCTCTGAGAATAGTTCAGTTACTAGATCTTGACAATCTAAAAGGATGTTGCTCCTTCTTCAAGCTCACTGCTTGCATAAGAAACCATTTTAAAAAATCTTCCTTGAGACAAGACCAGCTCAGCTCGACTGGGTACAGACAAGACCAGCACAAATACTTCAAGACAAACTAACTTTTTGAAATGCCTAAATCCCCAAGCTTCACATATCATATTTCAGGACATGGAGGCCTTACTATCAGATACTTTAAAAAGGATGTTTGGATCTCATTTTAGGTTATATAAATATAATAAATATATAAATTTTATTAATCTGTTAATATTTTTGTGAAAATTACCATTATGTTTTATGGCCAGCAGGTCATCTCCTCTGGCCTGATATGTAATCAAACTTATTCATGCAGAAAGTGTCCATAATGTTTTTAGAAGTTTTCCTGCTCTTCAAAACTACAGTACAGGATATTGATAATAATAATAATCCTTGCATTTGATATAGCGCTTTTCACGTCGGGAGGACGTCCCAAAGCGCTTCACAGAACACACTGTAAAGTGAATTGACTGTATATTTGTGGGCGAACGCGGCAGCCAATTGCGCACAGCAATGTCCCACAAACAGTCGTAGATTGAAAATGACCATTTATTATTGTTTTGTTTTGGAGAGATTATTATTAGGCATGTGGAGTAAGGAAACTTGCCCAAGGTTTCGCCCTGCCTGGAATTGAACTCAGGTCTCTCGCTTGCAAAGCGAGTGCTCTAACCACTGAGCCACAGGACTCCACAGATGGGGATGGGAGGTGTTTGCTGATGCAGGTTGCAATATACACAGTCCCAGCACTTTACAATATATCTTGTGAAGTGCTTTGAGATGTCTTTACAACGTGATAAGGCTCTATAACAAACAAGGATTATTATATATTGTTGTCAGGTGGCACTGTCTGAGACGGCGGATTCAGAACGGATCAGAGCACACCCAAGAGATAATTAAGTGCCGGTTTCCGGGCTGGGAGAATAATTGGGAGACTCTTCCCCATGTATGGTGGATAGGTGGATACGACTGAGTACAATGCTTTCTGTGTAGAGAGCGTCTCGTGTTCCAGGCTATGATTAGCTGTGCCACTACCTATTTGGTAGAGATGTGAAAGATAAGATGTGTGTTTCCTCCAGAATGTCTGAATACAGCTAAACTACTACAAAATTCCTCTAAACTAGCACCAACTATTTCAATATTGGTATACTGGAATTTCAACTTTCTATTACTTATTAATGGATATTACATCTGTCCTTGTATTAATCTTATCTGAGTTGAACTTTTATCCTTGGAGCTGAATTATGGATAGATTTTGTCATAGGACCTTGCTCATTTTAACATGGCTTGAGACTGGCAAAACTCTATGACCCTTTACATGTATGACCCTTACTATTGGCAGAGAAAGTAGAGCTTCAATAGTCAATCAAGACTGGATTCTGATCACATACATTAGAAATTATCTAAATACAATTGAACAGTATTCACCAACACAAATAGTTGACTATTGCAGAAAATGCCAATGAAAGAGTGCAATGAGCCACAAACATTTTTTCTACAATAAACAATAAAGTATAGAGATGTTTTTGCAAAATCTAGTTTTCTTTTGTGCTGATGTTGCTAGGCTGCTGTTTCTGAGAATTTTTCTGTACCATGTCAGCATTAAGTACAGTATTTCTAAGTCACATGTAACTGCAGCTGGATTCAAATTTAAGGTCCATTTGCTTTACCCGAACAGTATGCTTCAGCCATAGCCTCAGAAGGGCAACTGCAACTGCACCTTGTGTAACAGTTTCCATTTCCCAACTAAATCTTTATGTTCTCTCTGAGTGACATTGTCAATGTGTGCTAAATTCTGAGCAGCTTAGCACTGTGGAAGATCCACAGAGGCCTGGGTGGAAATTAACTCACTTTTGACCCTTAGAACAACAACAAATTACATTTGTAGTGCCTTTCATGTCAGGAGGACGTCCCAAGGCGCTAGACAGTCAGGGATCTGCACCAGAGAGCCAGCAAATACATCCTCGCCATGACCTTGGACTGATTGTTTTTGGTCAACTGGGTGTCTGACATACACAGAAAACCATCACCACGATCAAGAGTATCCAAACCAAATTGAGAATTCCATGCATCACATCTACACATCGGATTCCAACCCACATCCCAGAGGTTGGAGGCCCAAGACTATATGTAAGATCTGAACTAACCCTAAGAGGCAAGTTTGTATACAAAATATTAATTTTATTAAAATGTTTATGTATTATAAAAGTTCAAACATTTGCTGTGTGAGGAACATGCAGATGAGGAGGTAGTGCGGACCACTCAATCCTCCTCCACCGCCTCTCCTTCCACCTCAACCTTCAAGGTTCTGTCCTTGACTGGTTCAGGTCCTACCTTTCACACCACCTCCACTTAGTTTCTGTTAACGGTTTCTCCTCCAGCCCCTGCACCGTCTCGTGAGGCGTTCCTCAGGGCTGTGTCCTCGGTCCCCTCCTTTTCACTTTCTACATGCTCCCCCTTAGTGACATCATTCGCAGATATGGGGTAAATTTCCACATGTATGTGGACGACACCCAACTCTATCTCTCTGCCTCCACCCTCAACTCCAGGACTACTGGCGTCCTGACCGATTGCCTGTCCGACATCAAGACCTGGACGAGGGACAACTTTCTCCAACTCAACGTCAGCAAGACCTAAGCTCTCCTGCTTGGCGCGCGCCAGCGCCTCCACACCTTGGGCGCTAGCAGCATCAGCCAATACCTCACTAAGCCAGTCAGGAACCTGGGTGTCTTGTTTGACCCTGAACTGTCCTTTCTCCTCCACATCCGCACCATGACCGGCACTGCCTACCACCACCTCTGCAACCTTGCCAGACTCCACCACTGCCTCACCCCTCAGGCTGCCAAAACCCTCACCCACACATTCGTCACCTCAAGGCTCGATTACTCCCTCCTCATCAGCCCTCCCAACTCTTCCCTTCCCAAGCTGCAGATCATCCAAAACTCTGTAGCTCTTATACTCTCGCACACCAGGCTCCGTGACCACATCACTCCCACCCTCGCCCGACTCTACTGGCTCCCCATTCCTCTGAGGATCGAATTCAAGATCCTTGTCCTCACTTTCAAGGCCATTCATGGCCTTGCCCCCTCCTACCTCTCTGACCTGCTGACTCCCTACCAATCTGCCCACTCCCTCCGTTCAGCAGGCTCCAGCCTGCTCCATGTCTCCCACCCGACCCGCCCTACCACCGCTGGCCGGGCTTTTAGCCTCTCTGCCCCCACTCTCTGGAACTCCATCCCATGGTCCCTTCGCCTCACTTCCTCCCTTGCCTCCTTTAAGATCAGTCTCAAGATCCTCCTCTTCGATTGTACCTTCAGTTGCCCTCCCACCT